CAGAATAGTAACTGGTGATGAAACTTGGGTTCATCACTGGGATCCCGAAACCAAGCAGGAGTCCATGCAGTGGAAGCACAAGGGATCGCCAACGCCTCGCAAATTTCGTGTTCAGAAATCTGCAGGAAAGATTATGGCCACTGTGTTTTGGGACAGCGAGGGACTACTGCTGCTTGAGTTCATGCCAGACGAGTGTACAATCACTGGCGATTCCTATGCTACCACCATGAAAAATTTACATGATGCCATCAAGGAAAAACGCAGAGGAAAGTTGTCAAGGGGGTCCTTCTTCTCCACGACAACGCGCCAGTCCACAAATCGTGGAAAGTTGAGGCAGCAGTGAGGTAGTGTGGCTTTCAGGAGCTCAACCATCCTCCCTACAGCCCGGATCTGGCTCCTAGTGACTATTTTCTGTTCAGACACTTGAAAAAATTTTTGCGGGGAAAAAGATTTTCATGTAATGAAGAGCTGAAAGTTGCCGTTTCTGATTGGTTTGGACAAGAAGTTGACTTCTATTCCCAGGGAATAAAATCCTTGGAATCGAAGTGGAATAAGTGTGTTGAGTTAAAAGGTGACTACATTGAAAAATAAAGTGTTATTTTTCCCCTCGGATGTTTCTTTCTTATTCAGGTAGATAACTTATTGAGTGACCCTCGTATGTGCACACAAAACTTTTGGTGCGCCGAAGTGACACATTTTGTACTCGTCTGGTCATTTGGACACTTTCTTCTTGTTTTTTGAGGGCGAAAATGCGTTTTGACTTATTTTGGACTCCTAGACGAGCTTCATGGAGCCCTTGGAGCCCTAAGGGGCTCTTCCGGGCTAGAATTGTGCCAAAATTCTGGGGAAGTGATGGTGGTGTGTCGATTTGACAATTTCAACCTAAGAAGTTCCGAGAGGGGGGAAAAAAGGGTCTGAGGGGAAATGTCTTCATGCGCACTCCCAAGCCTGTCACTCCTCTTTTCGACTTTCCCTTTTTTTAATTCGAAGGTATTATATGAAAAAACTCCCAACAACGATATGTTCTGCTATGTAGCGAAGGCAGAGCGTATTCATAGCTTTTCTAACTGCAATCTAAAATAAGCCATTGATGGGAACTACACAACGCCTAAGCGTCTAAATGGTGGAACTACATGACTTACCCCAGTGATGCGGTCACTATTAATCTCCGTCAAGTGCGGACGTTCGTGCGGTGTGTTATTCAATATAGTGTTGGGACTTGTGACCTCGTGTAACTGACCCTGAGTACGATTCTTGATGTAGTTTGCTTTTTAGGAAGTCCTAGGCGTGCGATACTTCCCAGTAAACTACTCATCCGCCCTCTTCGATTTACAGGTTCCTTCATTCTTGACACTTGGGCTAGGCTTCGCCTATAATTCTGGGAATGCAGCTGGAAATCAGATCAGACACCAGGCCTAGCCCTGGTATTTTTTTCTGACGACACTTAAGACACCACCCCTGTAAAATACGTGTGCTTAGATAACATGATGACCTGGTAGCAAAGTAATCCCTGTGATAGCTCACTTTGTGGCTCTAATTTAACACGAAACTTTTGGTTTATTGATGCGACACACTTCGACTACTTCAGAGCCTCTGGAGACACCTTTCGACACATTCAAAGTGTGTCGTAATTGGGACAACTTTCGACACAGCATTTTCGTGTCAAAAAAGTTATGTGTGTGGGGTTTTACTGACGGCCTAACGTTGCTCTGTGGACATCACAACCCATCGCGCACGTTTCCGAACGTTAGTAGCCTTTGGTCACGCTGCGTTTTTCTTTTTACTATGGCTACAGGAGAGCACACGCGATCGCGCTGTGCGCACGAGTATGACATGCTTAGGACTTCGCGCGTTATTCTTCCGTTGTATGCGGCGCTGATAAGACCCCAGCTGGAATATTGATACCCTAAAATTAAGGAACGCTCGACCTCGACACGTGATATCGAAATGGGTGAAATCGCCTCTTGATATCACTATCTTGAATCTTGAATCATGCGAGCACGCGCATATGCCTCCGAACACCACCACCACTCATCCCGGACCACAGTAGATTTTATTATATAGATTATGACGTGATCCAGAACGAAGTATTTTCAAAGTAATTATGACGTGAAGAAAACAGATCGACCTTTTCTGCAGGGCTTGTTTTATCCTGAGCGGATGCGAATATAATGATTTCTTATACTGGGAAAATGTACGCGACCCACAGTTTGGGAACCGCTGACCTAGAGAAGTGGTTCTCAACCTTTTCGATCCCGCGGCTCACCTTATATTCAGCCCCGGAACCGGAGATCTATGGCTTAGTGCATACCGTGTTTCTCGTGTTTTTAGTTCAATAACAATTTGGTAGATGGCTCTGCTGTATGTTCTATCATATCTGGAACAGCCTAGGCAACATGGAAAAATTATTTCCCTTTTGATATACAGTTATTTAAAAAAGGAAAGAGTAATATTTCGTTAGCAAAGTATTAAAAAAAGTTTTTATTGAAAAACAACCGGGCTGCAGGGCTAGTAAGTGGATTTCCTACTAGGGGCTGAAAGTGTTAACAACTAAAAAGTGATCCGAGGCCCACTACAGAATTGAAAGCTATGTAATTTTGTTCGTCTAAAAGTTAATTATTTTTTTTCATTTACGTATACTTGTCGTGGCCCACCCGCGGCACCTCCGCGGCCCACTGGTTGAGAACCAATGCCTTTTGAGGAATGCAAATTAAGGATTCTCTAGACATGTCATATTCACATTACACCCCTTAGCTATGGGATCCTTATATCCAGTCTTAGCAGAAGTAAGAAGTTATGAAAGCTTACAGCCTTCCTAAGTTGATCCTTGCTAGTCAATAGCGCTCTTCGCAGAAGCAGCATACCCTCTTCAGATTTGTGCCCTTCCATTTGATCATTTATGAGCATTTCAAAGAATCCCCCCCCCCCCCCCAAGCACACACATATAGATCACTCCCTTATAGATTTCTACTCTTAGATTCAACCGGCTGTCATTAAAATGCTTGACGTCGGAGGCGTAAGCAGGATTTTAGGATTGGGGGGGTTCAGTAACTTAAAGCTCTTACCATTGATACCTATTGATTCGTCTGTTATTAATAAAAGAAAGAGTTATGAAAACCATCTGAAAAAATGGCTAACCGATTGAAGTTGAACGAAAAGATGTTCGATGTGGCTTGGATGGTATTAAACAATAGCAAAAAGACGTTTCCGCCACTCCACCATCAGCACTGGCTCCTGTCCATTTTCAATACCTAACTTCATATTTTTTATACCAACTATTCATAAATTTTCCTCGGGACAATGACATTTCACAAGTCTCTTAAGAACATAGTCTCTGCACAGTGCAATTTTCGTGAAAGTATCTGCGGCAGGATGAGAAATTTGTTGGCAAAAATTCGTGAATAATCTTTTCCCCTGTAAATGCTGGAACATGATTACAACACGTCGCGCATTTAATGACAGTAGGTTTAATGTAATAGCAGAAATCTACACGGGGACGATCTGTATGAAAGCGTAAAAAGATTCTTAGAAACTTTTATCGCTCGCAAATACGGAAAAAAAAAATGAAGTTGGAATGTTTTCCGAAAAAGCGTAACGAACTCGCAGGGGTCTGCTAGGGCAGCTCAAAGCTTCCCTAACTCCTTCATACCTTCTTACTTCTCTTGGGGATGGGTTTCATGATCCCCAAAGGGTATGACGTGCTATTTTTGGGGAGATCCCTATTTTTTAGCCTTTAAGAGAGTCTTTATCACCCATAGGACGACATGAATATGGACTGTCTTCTGTACCTGTTGAGGGATCATTTTCTCTGCTAGGGAATCCTTATTCGAGGAACTCATAAGAGACAAACGTAAATATCATCTTCGAGGAAACCCCTTGGGGTCCTTAACTCTTAAGGAGTCCTTTAGTATAGGAAATGACGTGAATACCAGGCTTTAATTCAATTACACTTCCTACGAGTTTAATTGCAGTCTAACGCAATCATAACACATTTTAAGTGTGCTCAGACATGCTCTCGTGAAAAGAATGTGGTGGAAATGCTATTCCCAGTTGCAATAAGCAATACTGTCTAATTATAACCAAACGTTTCTTGCAATCATGCAACAGGCGTCGCAATAAGAACGTTATTTCTTAGCTTCTTCTGAAATCTGAATCTATTGATATAAGCATCATTTACTGCAAGTAATCAAGAAGCAATTAAAGGCAAAAGCTGAGAGAAGGCATTCAATAATGCAATATTTGTCTTTACTAAGACTTCTCGGAGTACTGGCCATGATTTACGGATCTGCGGTAGGATTGCCACGTGTATAAGGAGAATTTTTTTTTACTAGTACGCATGACGTCTCACCTGATCTGCTCTGGAAAGAGTTCTGAAGGGCCCCAAGGTCTGAACCCATCGAACCATCATGAACAGGATTCGTGCACTCGTCTCCTACAGATTATCAGCGGTTGAAATCATTGCATAGATCCATGAAATTAACTTCGGGTTTGAGATGCTTCATGAACGCTCTTACCTGAGCCGTCTCCCAAGATAGATTCTGGCCTATCGGCGACGTCCCTTGTGTTGCTTTCGTCGACCACAAGATTTCCTGCGGGAAAGAAACATCTGGGGCGTCTTACCGGTGTGGCGCAATGGAACGCGTTGAAATCACAAACATACAGAACAGCACACTCACACGTTATGTACAATTCAGTCCATCACTATTATTTGGAGCATTATTGAGCACTGTTGCTCAATTACTTTCATCGAAGTAATTGAACCTACTGATTCTTGCAATGCACGCCACCATCACATTTACTTACTGAAGAAACATTCAATAATTTGCTGAGCAAGTAAGGAATTAATTTGTGAATTTTAAAGCTTTAATCACCTCGCATTCCAATCTGTTAAAGAGACCCAGAAAAGTTGAATGCAATATGACTTCCTTTCTTTTTTACCCACCTTGTTTCGTCACCCAGACACGAGGGGAGTGAAAATCTGTTCACTTTTCACCTGACCTCTATGGCCAGGCCCCTGGCTAAGAGAGTGCAATGGATGGAAACGTGAAAAGTAATTAGGACGCCAATTACCCGAACCCCCTTGATAATCTAATAATTCCGAAATTTCTCGGGCTGGAAAAGATATTCAGATACTTCATCAATTAATTTTCAGCTTGTAAGTACTTGGGTACTTGTTAATTTGAGTACATGGAAAGTACCATGTATGAAGCATACAAGGAGTCCGAAAAGTCAGGAATCAAAGCTACGTGAATTTAACAGTTTATGAGACTAAAATCAGGGACTTTGACCATCTCCGTGAGAGACATGGTTTATCGCATACAAACGTGTTTTGAGTGAGGTGGTGAACGTTTGGAACTTCTACTATAAATACTTGCTGACAAGACACGATGTTCTAAACGACTCTGATTCACCTGATATTTTTCGGCGGCGAGGAGTATCTGTAGAAGAGAGGGAGGTTGAAAGATTAGAGTGGATGCAGTGACTGGAGGGGGAGGAGGTGGGAGAAGGATGGGTGGGAGCCGGGGAACTCCATCCAGAGACAACCGGTTCAACATGGATGATCCTTCTTTATTCCCCTTTGGCTTCCTCGGCCCTCTCTCGTGCTGCACCGCTGCCGTGTTCAGGAATCCAACATGAAATAAGAGAAAGAGAGGCACTTTCATGCCAAACTCGTGAAGAAGAGGTAGAGTACTTCCATTTCACCAAAGTACAGATAATATATATTACCCCATGGCCATAATCCCAAACTCATAGAGGATTGAATTTGACCTAAGCTGAGTAAGAATTACTGAAATGTAAAAAAAAAAAAATTGAACTATCCTCGAATTGTGAGGCGTATATTTTACCGTTCGAGGCTATTCATGGTCAAAACTTTCCTCGATAGTTTTATACCCCAAAATACGTAATGATATTAAGATTCATTAAGACGAATCCATGTTCAAATATTCACTTTCATGAAGAATAACCAATCTTCTCTCCCTTTTCTGACTGTCATACACCCATTTCCTCTTTTTATTGCACATTATTCCCCCTCCAAGATTGTGCAAACTGCATTTTAATTGACAAGTTATACTATGTTGCTTTCCTATTATGCATAATTTCTCATCATAAGGAGGCGAAGAGATTCGTCCTAAAAAATAACATTATTCAACGGAGTAAATAATTTAGCGAATGCATCACAATAGAGGATTTGCAGTTGACGCCATGATTGGCATGGAACAATGTAAGAAGTCTTTGTAATGTAAGAAGCACCCTCCTGAGTACACTATTTATTATGAATATATTTTATTATCTTCCTATGGATAAGGAAAAAAACATTTTTTTTTTAGGTGGCATTGTTTTTTCCACACTCAAGAAGTTCCTCAAGAAGACTCGAACTGATAATTCACTTCCCTCTTTTGGATTCGGGCGAGGTGTATTTTTGGGTCTGCGCCTAGTCTCTAGTGAAATCGGCTATGTCTAGGCCCAATTATTGCAATCATGCACAACAATCTGAATTTAACACCGGTACCTGAATACTAGGAGCAGACTAATTGCCTGCCAAAAACTCGGTATGCCAACTTGTAGGCATTTTTCACTACTTTTGACGACACTTTCATGAGGAGGTAGAGAATGTCCAATATCAGTATCAAATTTCCAACCTTTCCGTGGCATCAAATTCTGGTAGTATAATATAAACCCAGATGGACTTGGTCATGGAAGAAGTCTGAGATCATGTGATGAGCAGTAGGTCTAAAGTTTCGTCTGTTATACCGTGTGCCTCCTCGCGAGGCGAATTCACACTTTTCACCCCAAGCTTTTTCTAAAATGTACAAAACGGAAAAAAACTTTCTTTTGAGAAATTTATTTCAATATGGCTACATTCCATCTCGACATGATAGTTATTTTGTCCCTTGGCAGAAGGAGGAGGTTACGTGCCGAGAACTGACAGAAAAAATATGGTTGTTTTGCAGAAGTAGCACTTGTATCCACTTGGTCAATGCATGGGAAGTGACAGTGGCAGGTATCGCAGTCGGACTCAAGTCAACAAAGTCGTCTGACTCTGGTGGGAAAATTGTTAGACTCTTTGTTGAGGTCGGAAATCTCCTACGACAGGCAGAGTTGCGTGGCAGTCTACAGTCTAGATGTCTACGTGAAACGCACGGGGCCTATTGGGCGTAATATACGATCGGACTCATGAATGGAAGTGGAGGTGAGTGAGAGGGTGGCTGCCCGAACAGGGAATCATCCCCCAAGGGTATTTTGATGAGTCCCGAGTGCCATGCCCGCTCCTCTGTTCGATTGAGAATTTTGTGACGCATTCATCCCCTTTGTGGACAACTCACCCGTGCCTCATATTGGGTGACCCATTTGAAAAGTTTACCGATGAATGGTCATGTACAACACAAACCGATGGACGGAAGAAACTGAAGCTTTGTATTGAAACTACAGGAAGCATAGGCTTCTGAAATCCGTGAAGAAAAGAGTGACACCAGCGCACAATTTGAATGTCACGTGGTCTACGAAGAGTATAAAAGATCTGTGCGTGATTGCGGACTGTGGAAAGTCAACATGGCAGCTCTCGCTAGGGGGATTGAATTCTTACTACTTAATTGAACTCTCTTCTTAGTTTTATGAAAACGGAAGCAATGCGGAGGCTGCCTTGACGTCACACTGTCGAAGCCACAACATGCCCCAAGGTCCATGCTCACGAACAGCGTGAAATAAAAGATTTCCACAAGTATTCCCATACTTATAAAACATTTTGAAGAAAAAAACTGGATCTGTGGTCAATATGTCGAGGAGAGGAGGCTGTAGGTATTAGGAAGACCTTTCTGATGCTTGTTTCTCGCATTCTCCAATGCTGCCAGTAGTTTACGCAGGGACGTAGCCAGGAATTATTTTCGGGGGGTGTCTTGTGAGGCTATTTCAGGCTCATGAAATGACGAAGTGCCCCCCCCCCCCCCTCTCATACTCCTTGTTTCATTATATCTTACTTCTTTTCGGGGGGTGTCCAGACACCCAGGACACCCTCCCCCTGGCTACGTCCCTGAGTTTACGTATCAAGTTTCAGCTTCTTCCGTCCATTGGTTTATGTTGTACACGACCATTCATCGGTAAACTTTTCAAATGAGTCACCTTGTATTTAAAAAAAAATAGACCACGTATCTGGCCTCTATCTTGCATTTGATGGACTTGGATGCGGAAAGCACGCGCCTCTTCTCTCCTCTCGACCTCGACACGTGATATCGAAATGGGCGAAATCGCCTCTTGATATCACTAACTCTCCTGACTCCTGACTCCTGACTCAAACATACCTGCACGCAGAGACCGACATAAATGTCCTCTAACTCTTTGCTTCCAAGAGTTTCAACTTTTACTCTGAAGTTTGGCAAATATATTGACACGTTAACTTCTCACCTACATGGCCATCGAGTAGGATAACCTTTAAAATGCAATAGTTCCGAGTGAAAATATGGTCTGTTCGTAAAGGTCCCTAATTTATGCATTCCTTCAGTGTTCTTATCATTTATTCATCTAATGTGCCTATATGGTTAGTGATAAGCAGGTATCGTCATTCAATCTATGAAGAAGATCGTGAGTGCGAGAATGTCAATAAGCACCATGGCCAACATGCACGAACAGCATCCACCATGATGGACGGCGCCAACAGTGGAGATTGAGGACGTTGAGATGGGGATGCGGAACGAGAGGGTGAGAAGATAGTGTGAGAAGTGCCCGCAACGCCCAGGTGTGTCTTATGGGAGCCAGAATGGCAGGCTGAGCATATTCTCTACCGTCTCACTGGAGGTAATGATCCTGTCGTGACTGGACGAGATGAGACTTCATCAGCCTCCTGGCCTCCCCATATAAGGACTCCATCTATCACGCGAGACGTGGGCTTGGGAAACGTACCCAGGTGTGCATGGGAGACAATAATGGGAAGGCGTCATAAGTTGACCAATGAGAGGTCTCGACTGTGCCTCCTCCCACCCCCAGTCCACCAATCAGATCCCATCTCCGCCACCACGCACGAGGATCGATGGTCTGCTGTCTCCACACCTCCCTTTTCTTTTGCTTCGTGATTGCCAGTTCTAGCCTTTTGCAGCAACTTTCAAAGGGTTGGATTGTGAATTCAATTAAGATAACTTAATTGAATGATATATACTATTTCAGGTCCAATTGAAGATGGATATCTTGCCATCAACCTAGGATGCTTTTTCGGTAACTGCTAAATTGTATACCTAGAACAGGGATGAAGTTTTGCGCATGAACGAATGCATGGCGAATTCTCATGCAGACAGAAGACTCGTCTTTGGCCAATCATGATCTCTAAGATACATTAGGAAGAAAATCTCCCGTTCTTGCTCATACGAGAAATGCTTAAAAAAAAGGAGGCCATCTAGTAGGACTAACACAGAACATTTTATAAAGTTACGAGCGAAAAGTTGGTCTCGCCAGAAATGCTAGGGTAAAATTAACCGATTGGAGCACAAAACTGATGATCCGCCGGATTAGTGAAGAATGGATAGAAACTACGTACAAAGGCGCCGGGCTGTCACTTTTTAAAATGTTATGCCCTCATTTAGAAGATAACTGGCTGCTTAGCAAATAAAAATTCCTAACAAATAACAACATCATGAATAAGGTGTCATTAAATATTTTTAAAAAGGCCCTTTAACCCTAATCAAATGGTATTCATAGGCACGAAAAAACTTAAAATGGTATTCTACTTGGTTGGGTCGCAGTCTTACCTTGTTCTTAGAGAATTTTACTCCTCTAATGAGCCTATATGGTTAGTGACAGGAATTGTCGAAGAAAAGCGACACGTCGTCCTGCAAGAAAGGGCTCATATGTCATAAGCTCCGACATTTTCAAATGAGGTCGGCTGGGGCGAGGAAAAGCAGCGTTCTTTTAACAAGGGAATCTGCCACTTCGATTGGAAGCAGCAAGCGAATTTCTACGACATCTGCACTGTCATTGTCAAAAAAGGCTATCCTTTCACTACTGATTATGCCCCTTCGTTCAAGGGTAAAACTTGGAATGAATGCATGCCACTACAATTCCTATTTGCTTTTACCCTTGAAAGCCCCAGTGCAAAATACGAAACAGGGCTGTCCAGAGCCCAAATACAGACTGAACATTTACTGTTGTTTCTAAATAATTCATATTACTCCCATATTTCTTACCGATATATATTTTATAAAATGAGTAGAAACTGAGACGATTAACGAATAAGCAACTTCAACGTTAAGAAGAAAATGAAAATATTAAAAAGCACGACAGTAAATAAAACTGAATGGAGGAGCAAATTTCCAAAATATGAATTTAAAACAATCCTTTTGAGTACTTGTTCGCCGACAAACTTGAGCTTCGGCCGGGCAGCTCGACTCGGGTGAGCAAATAATAGAAATTAGAGGACTGGAGAGACGGTGGGGATCAAAAGACAGACAGAAGAGTCGGGAAGCCAAAATAAGAGGTGATCGGATTGAGACAAGCTCGCTCCTTGCTCCATTCCCACGCCCTTAATGGCTTTCCGATGCAAGTCAACCAACTGTAGAACTTCCTCCGTTTAGATGGGCCGCTTAACTCCTTCATACGCCCCTTTGCTCTTCGCTCTCGTCCTTTCTCTCGAGAAGCGTTGGACTCGCATTGTTCAACAAAATGCATGACAGATTCATGAGGGAAAAATGCGCACCCGTCCAGCCATCTGCAAGGGGGTTCATTGTATTCTCATTCCTCAGTTCCGTAGCACTCAAATTTCATCCTTTTGATTCTCAGTAATGGCCACTCGATATGCCCTTGTGAGAATGTCAACGACCTGTCATGACTGGTTTGGCGAGGAAGATGTTTCAAGTCGAGTCACATGCCCCTGCAGATTAGCTGTCGGCCAATTAATAATGTACTCGAGCGCAACTCCCAAAAACTTTGAGATGACCGAGAAATTATTGCATGCTATGCCTCCAATACAGTCTGACAGTGCTCTATCCGGATATTACGGACATGTACTCATTTCAGCATTGCTCGAACAGCATCACATTTTCAGCCGTTAATCACCCCAGGTGAGAACCTCGTCCTGCTTTTTGGTTAATATGTAGCCTTCCAAAGCAAACATCGTTGAACCGGATGTGAATAGCTGTTAAGGAGGTCGTTAAACGGAAGGTGGCGTTTAAGGTTGGGAAACAGTTCTGTCCGATCGTGAAAAAAGAAATTGTTCCATTCCAAGAGGTTTTCCTCCCCTTATCTCGGTACACCAACAGAAGAAAATATTTCCACCGTATTAGTTTGTTTAACCGGGAATCTTCACTGGATCGATTCTTTTTCTTAGTTTCGAAACACATGCAAAATGTGGACATTTACAATACAAGAAATGTGTGAGCAGAGGGAGACGTAAGTCTGCAATGGGTAAAGTCGTTTCTAAATTTACCCTAATTCACTGTTTGAACGACTGAGAAACCGAATTCCATGTCCAAAATGACGTTTTTGAAGTGGAGGCCATTGAAAAAAACCAACTATCTGTTCGTTTTGAGAGGAATGTGGCATATTATGAAGTTTTGGTACTCGTGGCAATCCTGCGGAACTATGCTTGAACCTGGGAAGGTAAATTTGATTCTTGGGGTTCTTCGGTCGTTTTGGTAAAGGATTATCAAGAAAATCGAGAACCGGCGATTTCGTGCCCTCCATTCAACTCCCCTTTAAATGGGGGGGGGGGGGAACGCATTCCCCTAATGCCTGCTGTCAGTAGAGACGGGGGTAATTCACTCAACTCGGAAACATTCGAACTGAATCAATCGCAATATCTCGGTGAACTTTCACAAAACTTATCGAGAGGCACTACCAACCGGTAAATAAGGCGTCCAGAAAGCAGTAGCAGTTTTTGACCATGGGGAGGTGACAAGTGACATGACTTATTAAGTGATTTCTTGAAAGGAGTTCGCAAATTTAAAAATAGCGATAAAATAATGATTTTGCGCACTAATTTTTTTCCATAAAGACTATCATAGCCTGACTCGTTCTGTGTCCTTATGGCAAATTACACCAAAGCTCTGCAATAATTTGAGTAATATTTGAGATTGGAGTACAATATTTTTTCAAGTGGCAGGCCTAAAACGTAATGCAGACAGAGAAACCTGTAGGTAAGATGTACAGAACCGGAGAGCGAGAGAGGGAGAAGTCACGCTGAAAGATGAGATATGAGACTCACCATCTCGGTTCATCTCTGCCCGGAAGCACTTCTGCAGTCGACAGGCCCGACACTGATTCCGATGAGTCTTGTCGATGGGACACTTCCCTTTGGCGTCGCCCTGTGCCTTGCAGGTATACACTCGGCTCTTGTGGATGCTTCGCTTGAAAAACCCCGAACAACCTACCCACCCATCCCGTTTTTAATGCTGCCAGTTCTCGGAGTCTCAACGGATCGTAGGGAAATTTTCATAAAAATGTCTTACCGTCGCAGGAATAGATTCCGTAGTGTTTGCCGGAACTCCTGTCACCACAAACCTTACAAGGGATGTCTAGAAGACGATCCCCTATAGAAACAGGTCGGATCGTAAGAATTCGGCTCTTTAAGATCATGAAACATACAGTACATTGCGAAAAGTGATGTCCTCATCCTTTTCTGACAAAGAAGTACATAATTGCCATTATATGCTGATAGCACGAATTCTACTAATTAAAACGCATAACCTTCACCTTAGAAAAACCATCGAATTGGCGCAAATAATTTTAGACATTTCGCTTAAGTAATCGGTGTCCTTAATGGCGCGTCCGGTCTGAACTGACAGTTTCCTATCAGTATAAAAGATTCAAACAATCAATCTAATGACCTCTTGATGGAAAAAGGTTTCCCTCTTGAACCAACTTAGGGCAGGAATACTTCCCCAGAAAAGATGATGGAGTATGATCGAGTGGTAAGGAATGATCTCTCGACAATGTTCAGAGATGTACTCGATTGTCAACACTCGATACTACCTGAACCAAAGTTCGATGAATATCTGAAGATTTTGGTGAAGTGAAGCTAAAGAGTGAAGGAGTTGACCCCTGACCTGTCCCCATAGAGAGAAGGGTGATGGGAGGAGGAAGGAGTCACATGGAAGGATGAAGGGCAACTGACACAGGCTGGGATGCTGCCTGAGATGCCCTTAATAAAGCAGAGCCCCGGGAGATGTGGGAACCGGCCCAGGTGTGGCATCTCCCAGCATCCCCCCCCCTTCCCCCCATCTATCGCTATATAGCTTAGCCCCCGCCAAGTCATACACAAGCCCTTTTTTATTTTCCAAATGAGCTCTTGATCTCCCCTTTTTTTTCCATCTTTCGGCACGTTCGCAAAATATTGGAGCACTAGTCCGTGACTAAACAAGTGTCGATACCCTGGATTTTTCCTCTCTGTTTGCCGTTCACTTTTCGGGACTTTCCCTTGATGGGACGATGATCCGCGAGAGAAGGAAAGAAAACTTACCACTTCATCGGAGCCATCCTTCTATATCCCCTGCAGCTGTCAGAAAGGAAGGGAATAAATGGGCACGTGCTCCACTGCTTGCATTCGTTTGTCCGCATAAGTACTTTTTTTCACAAGCTTTATCTTTTTTCCTGTCATTCGGTAGAGTTCTTCCTGAATATAAATTTTCGAGGAAGCATACCACGATACGAAAGATTCAGATGCGCAGAATTACTTTCCATGATGTGGACAACAATTTGCTAATGATTTGTAATCCCTATGGAGTTCAAAGTTGAAGTTGCTCAGTTGCACGCAGATACGACCTAGCCTAGCGAACAATGTAGCTCACGAAGTTCCCAAAAAGTCATCCTATACAAAGTCTTCAGCTAAAATAGTGTCCCTCTCTAGTTGGAAGAGTGCACTATGTCGTTTCCTCTAATTAGCTTCCAAGTTACAGCTATCAAGGAACGAAAGCATAGCCTCTGTTAATTACAAGCTATCAATATGCTCGATCGCGGGACTGCAGGAGTGGAAGAATTCCGTGAATGGTCTTCAGTGGACAAAATTAGAATTAAAGCACTCACAAGGCGATGGCAATCAGCTGATGGAGGTTTTAGTTGCAGGCGAAGTTGATTTAAAGCACGTTCCATCTAGTTGTCGATGCCACGAGTAAAAAAATATGGTTCAGGGAACGACTTACCCCCATTTTTTAAATTTGCTCATCTGGACACGTTCGACTGCACGGAATCGATTTCGCGTGTGTACTTTGTCACGTTACGGAAAGGCATTGGAGTTGCAATTCTGACGTGAATGTCTTAGCGCGAAATGGGAAAAAAGTTATTATTTCAAAGGATGGCCGAAATATATCGAAGGGTGGAAGCAAACGATGGGAGAAAAAGGAGTAAGCACAGGATGGGTCCATTGCAGAAAGGAATATCGACCGTGGAGGGTCTAAATGGGAGGGTTCACCACGATCAGACGGATTCATTCGCCACGAATTCGTCGGGAAGCGTCATTCGGACTCCCTCACACCTGTTGTGTCAACAGGAGTCGGTGAACCGAGAAAATGAATCATGAAAACCCGGACATCTGGCTTGTTGCTCGCGTAGCCGTGATCCATTGTAAAGGGTCGGCTCTTCGACTCGTGTTTACTCCGGATCGTGCATTCACACCCGGTGGTTAATCGCTAATGAACTGTAGGGGGTGAGGATCCCTTTGTGCTCCATTTATGAGACCGTATCAGGCTCTGGTTCTTCTACGCGTGTCGATTAAATTTAGCTCGCTACTGTACATGTGTCGAACAAGAGATAGGCATGTATCTGAACAGGAATCATCACTTTTATTCCCGTCTTCTATATTTGACATTTTTCCTGTCATGAAAGGTTTTTAAAAAATCATTGACCCGTTTCGAAAAATCAAAACCCAAAGCATTAGGAAGGCATAATAATTTAATTCCAAGCAATTGCTGTGTTTACCTATTGCTATTTATTGCCGTGTTCTATCGGTGTAGTCTTGCCTTCGACTGACCTTATTTTGAAAGACCGGATTCCTTGTTCCTGGGGTCATATCGAGGATAATCATCTCCATGTTCTCTTTCAGTCTATGCTCAACGTTTTGGCTTATTTTTGTAAATGCGACCCTTCAGTAACCTCTCGTTAGCTCATTTTGGCCTGGGAATGAGTAGGAATGGGCAGCGACTGCGAATATCGATGTCGGCTTACACCGAGAAGCAAAATTAAGCAAGACTTTTGTGGTTTAAGCAAACACGATGAATCCATCCCTCATACGATTTGGAGTGGTTTCGTGACCGTTTCCGCGATCACGTGATTTCTTCAAAATGTGAGTTTCCTCGGGACATTGGATCATCATGGATGGTCAAAAGCAGAGACGTGGAATTGGGTCATTGGAATTATGAGCAACTAAAGGCGGGAGTGCATCAAGAGGCTCGGTGGTCATTTTCGGCATACACTACTGGCCAACAAAAAAAGTTTCTGGCTGAAAAATCTCATATTCGAGCCAATATTCCTTGCCTCGATGTATCGGCAGAACCGCGACTCGTCGCTGAAAGCAACTCTTCACTGCACTTCGTCCCAGCCGACGCGCATCGTCCAAGTCGACACGTCTCTGCACCCACTCGAGTCGATTTTTCAGCTGGTATCTGAAGGACCTAGTTTTTAAGAAATGCAGAGCAGCCAGGAAACCACTCTTGAATGCGATGAACATGAGGTGCACGCAAGAGTGGGCGGGGAGACGAGCGGACTGGCACGAGACGCAGTGAACGAGAGTTGCTTTCGACCACGAATCCACGTTCGACTTTGTTTTTCATCGACAGGGACGGGATCAAAAGACGACCGTGGAACGATTTCGCAAATACTATCGGGGGAGGGTCATATTCATGTGTGGTGACCAATCATTAACTGAGGCATCGGTAACTCGGTCCGGTGCAAAGAGGATGTGAAAGCAGATATCCAGAAATTAGAACATAAATATTGCCCACCGATAGAGGATCATTCCTTTCCCACCGAACAACGACTCTTCCCCAATGCGCAACGACTCTTCCAGACGTCGCTGAATCCAATATTAAGCATGACTTGACTCCAACACACGATTCCAATCGGTCCAGGACCGAGTTGGAAGAAGTTGTCATCGATAACCAACCATGGGCGGGACAAGGTGAACGATCGGGCATGTCTGTGATGGCATCGATGAAACAACGACCTAGGACCGCTCTAGGAACAATCAAGTTTCCAATATTTGGAATGATATTCTATTTCACTGTTTGCGGTCATTGCTTGCAGTATGCCGAGACTTGTGGTTTTCCGCAAGAGAACCATGGGAAACAAACGCACAGGAACCGCGCATTCTTACGCCAAATTGTCCTTCATGTTCTTGTAATGATGAGAGTATTGCAGTAAATCATGAAAGTTAATTATTTTAATTATTTTACGATCAAACTAACGAAGTATAACTGACATTGATACATCTTGGAGAGAATTATTATCTCGAATGTGAGGTTTTCCAAGTATAATATTTTTTTAAGATTTCAGATTCAGAAAGCCGATTTTTCTCTCTTTTTTTTTGACAAGCAGTGCTTTGTGTGATTTCATTTTACAAATTCTGGCAAGTCAACATTTTGAGAAAAATAAAAATGCTTATTATTAATCCATAAAAATTTTCACACTGTTATATATTATAGCTGCTTTCAATGAAGTTGTTACACCTTTGTTATGCTGTACTTTAGGTTATGATTTTTAGAAATACCTCTTTTTTTTTTCTTCTTAGGACTCTGCATGACCCAAATTTTTTACATATGCCTATATTTTTGAAAGGTCGTTGCGAAGCAAATTGAAGTTTCCGCAGGACACAGGAAGTATGACACACGCCGATCGTTTCCCCGTCCAGGAATGGGTCGCAAGGCGTGTAGAGTGACTCTGGCATTGCAACGGTATTTCCTCATTTTTTATATGCTAATTCTCTCTGAAGAAAAATTTGCTGCACGGCGAGGTGACTGCCCACAGGTGTATCTCTCCGTCATCCGCGAGACTTTCTTAGCGATACGTTCGGAAACCACAAAAGACGTCATACTTAGTCCCTCGATGAGAATCCTGGAAATCCTTCGCAAAGTTGCATTTCCAACGGATCCATTCGTAGCCGTCACAAAGCCTCACATCACAGCCTACGAGTTCCGCCAGGCCTGACGCATGCTGACGTTTTCTTCGCACCAGACGCGCTAATTCCCGCTGGATCTCGGTCTTGCGAAATAGTGAACTAAAAATAGAAGACCCACGTCACGATGGGTTTTCCATTGTTTGGCTGATAGCGAAAGAGTGCTCCCTTCTCGGTATTCCATTCTCTGGAGGCCTCCATATTCATGGGCATCCCGAGACCAGGGAACTTTTTTCCCCCCTTTCGATCGGTACGTGCAGACATCACATGATGTGAGATCATGGACGACAGAGCGACAGGGATCCTCTAAAAAAAGATGGTTCACGTCCGGTACCTATCAAAATCGTCGCACAGATCGTCGCATACCGCACCTGCCAAAGCAGGTCTCGAGAAACACGAGGAGAGGAAGAAAAAGAAGAAGTTAATACCGGGTGGCGCAAGAATAACGCTTCGTTTAACACTTATGAAACCG